GAGAGAGCAGACCTAATGGGGGTCCTGGGGGACGGGGGGGGGAATGCCAGAGTCCCTCGTATCCACCTCTCCCAAGCTGTGCATAGCTGTACCATGCTGCGTAACCTCAACCTAACCCCATACGGACCAAGAAAGCTTGGGATGCCTTTTTTAGGATAATATCCAGAACAGTTAAAGAGATTATTTAGTGTTTTTAGTTTTTTTTTTATTATAGCAAAGGAAAAAGTATATTTTTGTAAGTTAAATATGAAATACTATATGTGAATATAATGTCGTTTTTATCCAGCCAGCAACTGGAGCGCCGAGCTTCCATTCACATGTTATCCTCTGTCTCCTTACCGCTTGTTGTTTACAGTGTTCAGTAGCTAAAGCTGGAATTTGCACAACAAGATCCTAACCCTAAGTTCCGCTTTAAGTTAGCCCATAGTGCTTGCGGGTTTCTTATTGTTTGTTCCAAAACAAAGATTGTTTTTATAGGGGAAAAAATTGACACAGTGGACATCAAAACTTACAAAAAGAAACAATAACTGTCCTAAACGAGTAATGTTTCTTAACTCTTGCCTTCAGGAAATGTTAGTATTGTGTTGAAGATCAAGGCCTCATTGTCATCTAACGTCTCTCTCCGGTTTTTAACAACAGAAGCGCATGGCTACAATGAACAATTCCAACTATTCTGGGGGACTGAGTACAATGAGCGCATAAGAATTTAAAAATAACATGTCTGGAAAGAAATATGGAAACTGGCACTGCGGCATTGTCTCAATGGAAATGGAAGATGGCTCTGAACTTTGCACCTTCTAAAGCAAGTTAAGCAACGGCAGCCCCCATATTATAGGTTTTCTTTGCTGAAATTACCCTAAAATCAAATCCATTCTTGGGCATTTATAAGGCCTTCTTATCTGCCGACCAAAGTAATTCATAAATAACCAAACATCACAATCATTAGAATGTCACCTTTCAGCGTAGGACAGTTTGGTTGTTCAACAACTTTAAAGGAGAACTATGGGGTTAAGGCTTTTCCCCATAGTTCTCCTTAGGGTAACGGGAGGACACAAACTAGCGTCCTCCCGTCACCCTAAGCTCAGTATACCGCAAGCTACAGCTCCCTATTTACTGAGACACCACAGTACACCGCGAGCTACTGCTCGCGGTATACTGAGACGCCGCAGATGAAGCGGATCCCGACAAATATGTCTGGATCCGCCCAGCTGCGTGAGTGACAGCTGGCTCTGCCTATCTAGAGGCAGAGCCAGCTGTACCCGCCCCTCCCCTGTCACGGCAGAGAGCTGTGACAGGATCGAGAGGTGAGCGAACGCCGGTATGTGTTCGCTCACTTCTCGATCTACTGAGCCGACCTGTGACAGTCTCATTGTCACAGGTCGGCTAGAACTATGAGGTGAGTGAAAAGCACTCACCTCAAAGTTCTCCTATAAGGTAGTTTCTGAATCTCTGTATCAATTGTACAAGAAAAGAAATCACCATAGGAAAGCAGCTGTATATAGACCATGTTTTTTTTTGAAGGACATGTTTGTTTGGCCTGCTTTGGTCACCTCTCTGTATGTTGCTTGTACCAGGATACCTGTTCTTTGTAATTGACACCTCAAGTGGTCTCCATCTCCAGTTTGTTATGCAAATGCCACTGTCGTCTTGCCTTGTAGAACCTCTTTAGGACTCACAACATTCACTAATTAATCCTTTGTCAGGAGGATCCATTATGATGAAGCGTCAATTCAAACTTGACAAGTTGAGCAAGCTAATAATAATTAGGTATGTCACGAATTACCATCACATACATGACAATTGACGAGCAGATCGTGCTCTTTGGTGTAACCTAAACTAACCGGTAGATAGTCAAATTTGCTCCCCGTCTCACACCAGGTATGTAGTAGCTGCTAAACCAAATGACGACTATGCACCCTAGTGGTCTAAGTCAATGGGCTGTCTGTAGACAGGGTGAGTTTTGCATTGAATGCAAAGTTTGCAGACGAGAAAGTTATCTCCTACTGTTTCAGGCTCAGGAATTTGTCAGTAATGAAGATCTGAATTTGCTAATTAAATGCTCGCCACCCCCTGACAAAGCAAACATCTTGATGACAGCCAGTTTCTCCTCGTCTTGATATACGGATCCAGCCTATCACTTCTACTCCAGTGATAAAAGTTTGACCTAGGAAGCCCACCAGTCTCACAAATTTCAGCTGGGCACCAGAAGTACAAAGGTTGTCTATCCAAATGTTTTCCTGTAATCTGTAGCAAGACTACCCCATGGAGCTCCAACAACACTAACGTGACAGAACTAGACTTCGAGCCAGCATGGGTTGGCCAAGACCAAAACCCCAGTTGGTGAATTCACATGTCAACTTGGAGAATATAAAGAGTCTTTATTAAGTCTGACACTGCTTTCTTCCAAGTTCAGAATGCTGGCACTTTGACACCAAATATTATGGTTTGAAGTAAAAGGTAGAGTCAGCCAAATTTTATAATCCCTAGTCACATAAGCTTTTCACTTTGTAACTATGAATAACTGTTTTGCAGTTACTGCTTTGGTGAAAGTAGATATCAGGATCTTTATATCTTCTGAGGATACACATTACTAGTCAACACATCATTGGCATTGTCCATGAGCGCCTGCCTGGTGTCACTCGATATCTCTTCCTCGTTGAGAATGTGAACATCATATTTCATAGCCACCAGCAGTAAATGAGCATTGGGAAAATCCAGTGACAGTAAAACCATCTTCAAGGGAACAGGATAACTACAATCTGGATTCATTCTTGGAGAACCCATAGCATTGAAGTCAGCTGTCACCCTTGGAGAGCCTAGCAGATTGAACATCAACTTGCTACAAAAATTCTCCAGTGATCAAACTCAAATAACCATACCCTACTTGGTAACAAGCTTTGGCTTACACATTGAAGATTATCTAAGGGTTTTAGTTGATAGTTTTGGATTAAATCCTATATTTGGAAAGTATACAGTGTAAAACTCCTAGGTCAACCAGCGCAATCTTATCTTTAGAATTTAAGAACATGATAGCATTATCCCGACTCAGCACCTTTAATCTGGATGTACACTAATCTGATTGTGAACACACCATGGCCAAAGTGAATACAAAAGCTGACAAAAGGGTCAAACAAAAACAAAAGTTTGTGCAAACTCCAAGACTGCTGATCTTTTTGACGCAATCTTTCCAAGTAAAAAAAAAAAATGATTTTGCTCAGTTATGGTCATGTATTGACAGAGGCAAAACTTCCTCGCCCCGTAGGGTATGGCCGTGAGCCAAATTCGACTGCACGTCAGGCGGACCCTTAACCAAGTTTAAAGAGCCTAATTCCACTCAATCCCCAGAATTCTCAGTTGCATGAAACAATAGGAACCAGATGTCAATTATGTAATGATTTATGAGTTCAGTTCTTTCTTGGAGACCTGCTCAGTTACCTAAGCAAACTCCAAATACTCCACATCACCCTCGTCCACTCACTGCTACAATGCCTTGTAGCTTAGCAATAAAATTCAGCATTTCATACTAGTGTTTCATATAAACAGTGCAAGCGTGACCTTTGGAGTAGAATGACTGTGACGGCGCGTTTTAAAGCTGTGAATAAGGCATCAGGCATTTGCCCATAAAAAATGGACAGTATAGGAGACTTGCCATGTGGAGGCTGAGAGCACACAGTTGTACTGCCAACCTTTTTACATTCGGTAAGGGTAAAACTGCTGCAGGTGCATGTTGGTCATTCAAAAGCATGGTTGGTGATTATTTTTACAAAAATAATCTGGAGCCGGCAATGCCTTTGGGGGAGTTCTATACAAGATTTAAAATAAAAGTGCAGAGTTTTGCTTTGAAGCCACAGAGATCTGATAAGAGACCAATATCCCTGACAGAGCTTCACTGCAGCTTCTCAACTGAAACACAAGCCTGCAACTATTGATCCAACTGTCAGCTCCTTACACTGCTTCAGCAGAGCAGCCTGTAACCTATAGGGGATTAAGAGCCTCTCAGCCATGCGGAGTTCCCCCCTTCTGTCTTAGGACCACACAGCCTGTACAACTTAATTTGCTAGGTTGTGCATGCAGAAATCTGCTAACACAGGGCAGGGCAAAAAATACACTTGAGTTGTTTATGTGTATTGATACATTAAACAAAAGCAGCATGCAGGGCAAAAATTGTTTATGTGCATGGGTTCATAAAAAAAAAAAAGCAGCATGCTTTTAATAGCAAATTAATAGCAAATGCTAAAGGTTACAAATGTTGCATGCAAAAAAGTAAATAAATAGCGAAAGTAAAACAGTTACAAATGTTGCATGCAAAAAATAAATGAATAGCAAATGTAAAAAAAAGTTACAATTATAAATCTTTCTCTTTATATATTTCTGTCTTCTTCCTCTATGTATATAAACACACAGAGGTACATACACAGACTTCCAAGCACTCTATGTGCCTGCAGGGTAATAGTCAACAGATAACATATACAATCCCAATGAACATTTTTATAATTTCCTGCCATATCAGAAATCTCTAGGTGCTTTCCACTATTAACTTTCCCTTTTCCAAAGCAATTAATTCACAACACCAGGGAATGTCAAAACGAAAATTTGTATCAGTCATCGCCAACGTTAGAGGAGCTTTCAATAAACAGATTATCTTCTATGTTGAATTTATAAAGTAAAATAAATCAATGAGAGATATAAAATGTATCCAGCACCGGGAAGTCGGGCAGAACACATGTTGGTAGAAAAGTAGCAAAACTTCAGAAAACGATTTAAATCACTTTTCCTGAAGCAGAGGAAGTTTGTAGACACTGTAACATTAGCCCCAGTTTTATTGCAGCCAGTTGGGGACAGATCAGGGGGGAGAAAAGTTATTTTAGAATTAGGTAACTCAGCATGCAAGGCAACCCAAAAGCTGCCAAAGGGAAAAGGTGCACCCACTCAGTGCCAGATGGCTCCTGTAAAGCCAAAAAAAAAAAAAAAAAAAGATGTTATTTTTTTTTTGAGCTTACCTACTACAAGGCAGAACAGATCCAGGAAAATAAGCAGAATCCTCTTGCAGCTCCCAGTGCCATTATTGTTGTTTAAAGTGGTGCTGCCCCCGTTCCTGCTCTCGGGGGGCATCGCCTTGTCATATTTGTAGTTCTGCATGCTGGTGTTGCAGTTGGAGACAAATTTCTTTAGATCCAGGCTGCCCAGCTTTGCTCGCAGTCAATGACAGCAGGCAGACAGGGAGCTTGTGACTTTGTTCCCGGGTCCAAAGTCCTTTTTTTGCAAGCCTTGGGTAAAGTCACAGAGCTGCTCCAGAGGTGGATACAAAGTAGGATCCTGGCTTGGGGATGGGATTTCAGTCCTGCCTGGGCTTTGGTGAATGCAAAGAGAGGGAGAAAGAGAGAGAGAAAGAGGGGGGGATATGATTCCCACAGCAGATCCCAACCTCTTTTCACAAAAGGCTCACTCAGTCCTGCTGATAAAAGCGCTGAGAGCTCAGTCTGCACTCCTGCTCTGCCTGTTCTCCTTCTGCACTTTTATTTTCAGGGTCGGCTTTCCACCCCCTATAAGAAACTGCCTGCTCTTGGCTCTGATGGGATTTGGCTAGCACAGCCCCCTTCCTGAAACTTACTTATACATATGATAATTAACTGCACATTTGTTTCCAGAGAGAAAGCTGACCCCAAACAGTATGAGGGAGCCTCTAGTGTTCAAAAAGTGCTCCAAAACTTTATTGGAAGAATTTTTCCTTTTTTTTTTTTTTTTCCAAGAAGTTGCAAAAGTTTAAAGAGGCACCATAGCCCCCTTCCACCTCCTCCTCCACCTCCTCCACCTCCTCTCCCCTCCAAGAGTGACATACATTTACCTTTTCCTCCTCTAGGCTGCAGGTAGAAGGTAGGAGGTCTTTACGGAAGGCTTGGGAGGGAATCGAAGGCTGAGTAAAGCTTATGTTGGATACTTAGAAAGGCAAATGTGTTTTTGTCTGCTCATTCACATGATGCCATGCGTGTGAAAACTTGTCCAGGAGCTGTCACCTTGTTTTGCTGGCATGCCTGGGGTTGGGTCATGTAATGTGGTTTCTTTAACGCTTCGGTTCAATGGCAGTCTGCTGGGGGGGGGGGGACTTCTTTTTCCCACTTCTGCAGTCACATTTGAGAAAACCTTCACTATATGTTTGTTTTCATTCACAGATAATAATTAAGAGAATAGTAAAAGTTAAATTTTATCTTTAAAAAAATGATAATAAATACATGCATATTGATAAAAGCATAAAAAGTGATTTTTTTTAAATTTGCATTGGTGCCAATAAAGCATTCCAACTGTGATAAGTAAATAGTGGGTGCAATGCTCTGGCTCCTGCAAATTCTCCCCGTGGACATTCGGTAACAGTAAGTAATGTAACCACGCACCCTTGTATTTCATTAAGGACTATAAGTGCGCACAGTCGCACCAGATTAAAAAAATAGCAGCCTGCAGGGAGAAGAACCCAGGTAAGGCCAGGTTTACACCTGGCAATCTGTGACCACGTAGCAATCGCGCACAAAACCGCGCATCACGTAATCGCCTACCACTGCCGTTCGCGCTGGCGGTGCCAATATTTTCTAAAAGCACCACAGTCACGCCGGGCAGATCACACGGTTTCCCGCTGCCATACCGCCCGTGCAATTGAACCGATCGCTGCTAAAAAAAACCTGCACGTCGCGTGGAGAAAAAAAAGGTACTTGTACCTTTTTTTAGCGATTGCTGCGAGGATGTAACCTCATTGAAATCAATGGGGCCACACGGCAATCAATGTGTGAACCCGAACACGATCGCACGGTCCCGGGGTGCTCGTCCTGGGATCGCTCAGATCCTAACCTAGCCTTAGTCTTTGTCTTTTGGGGGGAGGGGTAGCATGGTAGCGGGGTGCCAACCTGACCATGTTTCATGTTATACCCTAAATATGGGTGTAACAAGAAACATGGTCTAAAAAGTAAACTTGGCCTTTAAAAATTGCAGCTTGACTTTTTTTTAGATGCTCTTTTTTATAATCTCCAGGACTGAAAAATTCTACTTATTTCCCACTGTTTGAGGGGGCTCATAGTATGGGGGGGTCTCTTAAATTTGACTGCAAAAGTGGAAATACACTTGAAGCTTTCTTGATAAACATGCACACACTTAAGGGGTCACCGAAGCATGCATGTTTATACTGAGGAGGGATTACAGAGGAGATATCTCCATCTCTGGCTTCTCTTGGGAGAATTGGAGCATTCAGACCAGGAAAATCTAATCATCTTTTTTTCGAACTGTTACCAGATACAGATACAAATTGCATTTTTTTAGTTGATATTTTAAAATTGGAATTAAATGTAATTATATTTCTTATGATCGGCAGCCTATGAATTTGGCACATTTTTTTTTTTATCCCGTGGTAGGACAATGGAAATCTTTATAACTTATCAATACTTGTTAGCCTAAACGCACATTGATGATTTTTACCCATTGCAGGACTTGGCAAAAGGCCACAGCGCTTTATAGGGCAGATGGAACCAGTCGCAGGAGCTTACAATCTAGCATCCCTGCCATACAGGGATGCACTTTAGGGACAAAGTGGATACTTGGCGTTTTCATGAGAACTCCCAGGGCTGCAGCGGTTGCGGCTGGGACCTGGCTCTGGTGCTCCACCACTGTCCTGAAATCATTAGTCGATATGGTTTCAGAAAAATGGTCACATGACAATAAACAAAAATGTATCAGTACTCGTACTCACAAAACTGGTATCGGTGCGATCCTTTATATATATTCATAAAAACCAAATCATACATTAAAACAGAGATGTAGAAATCCCGGGAGCTCCGTGTGCTCCTTACAAATGACAGCGGCCTCCTAACTTTTGAATGTTTCTCTAGTCTAGTCCTGGAGCCCGAAAAGTATCTGTACTTGTACCGAGTACTGTACTTGGTATCTGTGCAACCCTAATTATTATTATTATTACTATTATTATTTGATACAGGATTTATATAGCACCCACAGTTTGAACAGCACTTTACAATATAAGGGGGGACAATGCAGTTAAAATACAATTCAGAACAAGAGGGTTAGAATGGTACTGCTCGGGTGAGCTAACAATCTAATAGGGAGGGGCTCTATGCAAATAGCAGGCTGAAACCAGGACCCCAGTTTCACTTCTGATACTACTTGACCTTTGTTAATCTCCAGTGGACACAAAAATTAACTTCATCAGTTGCAGGTACACTGGACTGCACTGCAAATTGAAGCAGTGACATGAGTGTTGTATACAAGACGACCTTATTTGCCATACAGTTGAGCTGGCGCCGTCCTGATAAAATGTAAAACCACAACGTGCCCAAGTTCTTCTCCAAATCATCTCTCGCAGGCGTTGATACTTTTTTCACTTCCCATAAGATACATGCAATTTGCACGTTACTTTACATACTGTACAGTAACAGGAGTGCTAACCACTAAGCCCAGGGCCGGAGCTGCCACTAGGCAAACTAGGCAGCCGCCTAGGGCGCAGCCCCGACCACTCCCCCACCGCACGGTGCCCCCCCTCAATTTCAAATTGCAAAAGCCAATAGCAGACAGGCTATTGCTGCGCCTGCACACTGAGCAGAGAAGCAGAACTGAGAGACAACTTTCTCTCTCTCTCAGGTCCACTCCCCTGCTCAGTTGCTGGTGTTTCAGTAGCCAGTCTGCTATTGGCTAATTCAAATTAAAATAGCCACTAGCAGTCTGGCTATTGTCCCGGCTGCTTACATCCATCTATCGCCTGTGGAAGCTAGACAGCAGGAGAATAGGGCCGCACATGCGTGGGAATTGAGGGCTGCGCTGCAGAAGGGGGGCTAGGGGGTGCACGTAGCTGATATTGCCTAGGGCGCAAAATAGTCTAGCACCCCGGCCCTGACTAAGCCAATACACTTCATGGGACTTGTAGTTCTGCAACAGCTTTTTTTTTTAAAGTTACCAACATTTTAAAGGAGAACTATGAGGGGGGGCGGGGGGGTGCTTTTCACTCACCTCAAATTTAGAAGAACATTTTCCTGCTGAGCTGAGGACTAAACCCATCCAATCCCATGATTTTATTTATTGAATACATTATATAAAGCCACTTTTTTATTTTTTAATTCCTAATTTCAGTAAATATTAATTTAAAATATTGACAAACATTAATAGCATATAAACACATTAATAGACATTCTTGAGCAGGGGTGTTCCTAGCCTCATTGCCGCCCGAGGGGTGAGGGAGTGGGTGGTGCTGATGATGCTGCCCTCTGCAGACTCTTAGCAACCTGGCACTCTCTGGTCAGCATCCTACCATGCTCCTGGCAACCAGTGATGTCACCGGTTGCCAAAAACTGGGTAGGATGCCAGTTAGAGCATCCTAGGTTGCGAAGATCTGGAGGGCGAGATGTGTATGGCCCTTACACATCTCCCCGTCCTGCTCTTAGTAACCTGGGACGCTGTGGCTGGAAAGGTGGTGGCAAGTACACTGCAAACATTGTGCAGCAAAGCGTCCATGCGACTCGGCCTGCTGTCCCCCCTCCCTCACGTGACCTAAAGAGATGCCGCCTGAGGCAATAGCCTCTGCCTGGCTCATTATAGGGACAGCCCTGTTCTTGGGGTATATTTGCTCAGTTTTAAAAGCCAGCGACATATCCTGGGTCAGTCCCTAGGAATTATGGTCAGCTGCCAACTATAAGACTGGCATGCGTCAATGTTCAGTTCCATGGTAGCTTCCTACTAAAAGGTGATCTAAGTTTTGGCAGGCATGCTGTTACTTGTAGGTCTGCAGGGGTATAGTTTGAGAATCTGCTAAAATTTGTCATCACGGCCTGTCAGGGCAGCTGAAATAAAGCTGCAGCCTTAGCTGGCGACACACAGGTATTTGGACCGCCTATAGGCTCCTGCCGGTCGGGAAGGAGTTACATCCCACCCCATAGCCTCAGGTGACAGTCCTTACAATAGAGAAGGTTTACTGCTTACAGTAGGTGTTTATTTTGTTCTCTTGTTTCCTGCTTCACATAGAATAGTAACTGAATATACAGGCTGTATAATAATATCTGCAGGAAGGCAGGGCCATTTTAAAAGGTCAGTCAACCCAGAACTGAGTTAAACCACCTGACAGTCTGTTCAAACTCCCGGGGACTCTATTGGTGAGATCTCTGTGCCGAGTTCCCCCGGTTAGCACAACTGCTGTGCCAATTATGAGGGATTAACACCATCCATGTCCTGGGTCTGTACGCCTGCTGTGCCCATTATGAGGTTTTCCCACTAGCACTACACTGTTTTCCCGGGTCTGTACATCTGCTGTGCCCATTATGAAAGGTTCCCACCATCCCTGTGCTGAGTTCCTGGGTATGTACACCTGCTGTGCCCCTCATAATGGGCACAGCAGGGGCACAGCAGGTCTCTACACCTGCTGTGCTCATTATGAGGGGCTCCTACCATCCCTGTGCTGAGTTCATATGTCTGTACACCTGCTGTGCCCATTATGAGTGGTTCCCACCATCCCTACACTGTTTTCCTGGGTCTGAACACCTTCTGGCCATTAAGAGGGGATCCTATTATTCCTGCTCTGAATTCCTGGCTCTGCACACCTACTGGGT